GATAATTGCACTTGGTAAAGATGGGGAGGAACAAGCCGTGATAGATTAGAAGGCACGAAATTGGCAGTGTTCCAGGACGTGGTGGGTTTTCGCCTGGCAAGCGTTCTCCCTATAAAAAGCCACATATGTCCGTTTAACAACATTGTGACGTGGCGGACGTGACTTGCCCCTAAATAAAGTCACTGCCCCTTGCTTCATCCTGGCGAAGCATTGTATTCCAGCAACGTCATGCTGTACTTCTGGGGAGCATTGGGCCCCTGTTTGACAAAGGAACAAACGAAAGGCGTATGAACTGAGCAATCAGGCACCGGCTCCCAATGAGCGCGATTCCCTGAATTCGCTCCGCTGCCTTGCGGACAGGCTATTCAGCCAAAGGCTCGGGGTGGTGTCCCCTAAGTCAACACCCTACTTCGGCTTGGGCAACCGGGTAGTATCTTGCCCTCTGAGGAAACCATGGACATTGTTGTGTTGTGTTTTATTTTACTATTTCTGTACCTTCGTTTGAATCCCATGGTTTCTGTTGGCATTATGTCTATTCGTAGACCTTTGCAAATAATTTGTTTCCTATGTAACGGCCGTTTACTGCTTGTTTACATTTGTGGCAGTTAGTCTAACTTGAACCAACGGCTATGATCCCTGCTTATCGAAGCTGAGCATTCTGTAGCTCACTTAACCAATACGGTTGTTCCATGACTGTCATCGAAAGCCATTGCTCGCTTCATTTTAAAACAAATATCGATGCAGGGATCGATTCTAGATGCTGTGGCCAACTGGTGTCTGCTAATCTCGTTGATAAAAATGTCACGCATTATTAAAACAATAAGAAAGTCTGAAAAGATGTTGGAATACTGTTCCAGGAAGTCTCATTTAGCCTAACCGGTGGAAGATTTCTAGACCGTCACTTGGGTCTTATCTTTATCAAGCTATTTCATAAAAATGCGTGCAAGAAAATTTAAGGGCTAACTGAGGGCACTTTTGAAGAACACGATGTTCGGATTGATTACCACACGCAATTCCAACCTAGCTCAACATCCGCCTTTAAATGAACTCCGGTCAATTCAACTAGTGGGAGTTTGTCCAGTCTGTCAAATCAGGGAGTCCACAGAGCTTCTTCATTCGGCCTCTTGCGATCAGTTGGTGTAAGTGCAATCAGGTTCATTTGGCCCATCCACTTCTTTTCGTTCTATTTTGTGTTCTACTCCGTTCTGCAGACTTTGCTAGTTTTATTACTATTCGTATCTTTAAAGCACTGAGTTCCCTTTATCATTCTAAATAAGACAATAAGAAGTCTGGTATTGCGAGGTGGTACCATTTCGTGTTATCTGTTCACTCGCAAACTAACAACTGATAGATGAATCACGTGACAGCAAAAATCGAAGATTTGAAACTGGTCACAAGGGAAAAATTATGTAGACACAACAATGACAGATTAGCATCCTGATCTTAGGGTCATGAGCCCCAAGGAAGCTTCAGGGAGACTGTTAATTGTTTTTGTATGCATAGGATAGGGTGATGCCGGTTAAGTGCCACCGCTTCGGCAAACCTCAACACTTTGGGGTTGTCATTACGATTGATAACTGTAAATGTTGACCTGGGGTCAACCTGACGACGCATCATATAGTAGCTGAATAGATCGTGTTTCCTTGCACGGACCATAGTTGCTCAGTTTAACTTAACCTACCTGAACTGGGTTTTACGAAACTTTGCGTAAATGTAACTTTGCTGCTAGTGGGTGGATTTGTCTCAGCCAGACGCAATTAGACAGCCAGCATACATCCAGGAAAGGGCTATACAGTTGTTGGACCATACTGGGACTCGACGCACGCGCGCTTCTGGCGGACCCTACCGAATCCGTACCACTGAATTCACTCTTACGAGTCAACGACATATGCCATCGGTCATGCGTGACAATGGCTCACCGCCAGGAGTGCTTTCTGGCTCGAATCTTTTTCGAGTCTCATGTACGTTATGAGCATACAGTGGGCAGGACCACTGTTAGCTTGGCCAGCCATCACTAATCAAGTTGACTCGTAGGCTGCTAAGGCGATTACTGATTACCATTATTGTGTATCATGGAGATTTATTGTGTTTCTGATAAGATTCGTCGCATCTAGATTCAACCGGATAGCCACCACACATGTAGGGATACACTAGAAGGTCATTGCTTCCTTTTGGAACTCGTCAGTAGCTCGCATCCACCGAACTGATGTAACCGAACATACATATTGAAGAGCAATGAAACTGAATGAACTTGCAGAAGAGACAGACCAAGGGTCACAGACCGTCTCACCAGCGTAATTTAATTTACAGAAGAGTAGTAGGGGGAGTTGCATGGTATAGGTAGAACTTCGTCACATTTAGGCTCACTCAGACAGCCGCCACAAGCCCGGAAAAGCACTGTACGCGCGTTTCATCCTTTCTGGAATCATCAGCAGTGCGCATTCCATCGGACCCTTGGTAGGGCTCGAAACCGCAACTCGACTGTTGCCATTCCGTGGTCGAGACCACTGAGCTACGGGGAACGGCAACGACCATCGTGAATAAGTTACTAGATGTGATATAGCGCCGCTCACTATCCACTGACTTACACGTTACTGCCGTGCAGAGGACAGGGTAGCCCCCTCACCGCGCGACGATCTTAACAAACTTAAGCCGCCAATTATCTTATGGCATTATAAGCAGTTTGTTCTGCGTACTGATTACAGAAGAGTAGTAGGGGGAGTTGAATGGTATAGGTAGAACTTCGTCACATTTAGGCTCACTCAGACAGCCGCCACAAGCCCGGAAAAGCACCGTACACGCGTTTCATCCTTTCGGGAATCATCAGCAGTGCGTATTCCATCGGACCCTTGGTGATATGAAATGGAAGCTGCCTCGATTTTAATGACACAATGGTGCAACTCATCAACTAGGAATCCGGCAGTCTAGCATTAAACAAGGAAACGGTTGCTGACTGGTTTTCGGCGGCTTCTAATCTAGCGTACTCAAAATAGATAATGATAGGGGGCAGTGATTACAATCCGTTTAGCTGTCTGCCCAGAATACTCTACGGATTGCAGAAATGTTGTGTCGTTACTTGAACCTTTATGCACCCGCACATCTTCGAGGATACATGATTTTTGTCTTGCTTGAGCAAAAATATGCGTAAACACAATACGTCAGTAGGAACTCGCGATTTTTCCTTGACACTGCACATGCTCACCAAATTTAGGAAAATACCTACTATATGATTTTCTCATCCTACATTGCGTGAATGTCGCTCCGTGGCAAGAGCATCTAAATAACTTGGCCTTGCTGAATACAGCGTCCGCTTGTTTCTGTCCACATTGCTTCAGTCATATGCAGTCAAACCTCCATAAGTTGAATACTCAAACGACTGAACCAAATGTGGTAACATACACAGGTATGAAACCATAAAGTTTACATGGTGAAGATTCAAGCAATTAAAAATAAAACGGTTAACTTATAGTGGTTGTCAGGTTAGAGAAGTAATCAATTGTGGTGGTTTTCCTGTAGTTATTACACACATTCGGTAGCAAGTTGGAAGGGACAACTGCACCCTGCTGGGGCTCATCAGAGGTGCAGTATTCTCAGATCATTCGGGGTTCGGACTAACAACCGTTCAACTGGTAGTTTGCAACCATATCGCTGAGTCAAAAGTGATGGTAGGGCGTATTCGTCAAAGTTGTTGACTGTTAAGTGTGCTTCTACGCTGCAGATATGAAATCGGCCCGTAGATGTAAAGGTTTATGCACTAAGTCAGGAATACCAAATGACACTGTGAGCCGCTCAGGCAATTACTACTATGAAGCAGTTAATAGGGGATTTTGCGCATCTTAAGACCCCTCGTCACCGCAGGGCTCATCCCTAAAGCCATCATTGATCTACCACGCATCAATTTGAATACAGTGGGGATGAAACGCAACAACTTATGATGGATGTCGGCAGCGGGAATTTGCAACTGATCCATGGTTTACATCGGTGTGGAACGCCTTCTACCGGTGTGCGACCCCCTCATTTGAACTGTACTGGCTCACAGAGCATTGAGAATGGATGGGACTGTTTCGCGAAACATTGTTCTCTCTAATGAGATGAATGCGTCCCCTCAGGAAACTCGAAGATTAGATATACGAATTGTGCGGCTCTTCAGTATTCTGCAGGCCAAATAGTCCGATTTAGTGGTTCAGGTAACTGTTCGGCGTCCTCGGAATGCTGGTGGCTGCGGGAACTGCATCAGTTGCGAGCTTGTTTGACTGATTGATACTTGTTGATAGACCGCGCCAATCTCTAAATTCTTCTAAGGCTTGTTGACAACGTGATCACTGATGTGCTAAGATGTTTCAAAGACAAGCACTGAGAGAGTCAACTGTTAGAGAAATGTGAAACATGGGGGGAAGGTGGGGATAGAAGAGGGCGGACAAAAGGCAAGTGCGGACTGATATCTTGTCAACGCTTGCCAGTTATTGACGAGTTTGCAGATGAAGTAGCTGAAGTACTGGGCATGAGTATTTGATCGATGCAAGGATTGCGCCTCGCTGTATCCTAATTGACCACCACTTAAAAGTCGAAATAAACCTGAGTAAAATTTCGCAACCAGACTACATGGGAATCAGATAGGTTCTGAATGTCCCTCCCTCACAACCCTACACTCCAAATGGTATTTTCCTTATTTAGAGTTTCATGGTAAAATTAAATGAAGCTAGGAGTGAATTACTGTAGGTCACTGTACTCAGTTACCTCTCGTGCTATTGGGCTTCCACGTCACATGAGTAGTATGCACGGTAAAGTAGGAAAGAGGAATTTTTTACATCCGACCGGCGGCTCCAACACATGTGAATCATGTGGGTTCTAAGCGGTTTGAACCATTGGAGAGCCCCATGCCTTTTTTGTATCGAAATCAATGCGTATAGTCATAGATAAAATGAATGTTTTTCAGTTACCTTTATGTCCCCCACTCTGTCGATGGGTGCATTAAATTTTCTGACTTCTCCGTTTCATAGATGCACATCACAACGCCCATGCCAATGGGATCAGAGGATACCGGAAAGTCTTCGCCACAGAGTATGACCCGGAAGAGGATATTATGTTGAACAGTGAGCTGAGTTTGGATCTGGGACCCAGTAAGCCATTTGAAATTTACTTTTCTTTAAGTAGCCATGATTCGCGGAGATTATAACTAAACTTAAAAGGGAGGGCGGAATATTGTTTCGTCAAAGGTTTGATCTGTCATACTGCCTAAGAAACCCATGTCATCACGATGTTTTCATCGGCACGCGACAACCTATTTGCTTTGCAACCGTTATCCACCGTTAGGTATGCAAATTCCATACTCTGGTCAATGGGAACTATGGTCGTTGCCGTTTGGGTTACTACTGCCATTGCTGATGCTCAAATCATGTACGAAAGTGGTTCCTTTTGTAGACACTTTGGTCTCGAATGGCACTAATCTAAATAAACAAGTTAGTCCTTGCGTGTTTGCAGAGGTACTGTGATGGCAACTGCCTCTTAGTAACAATACTCTATTGTGATGTCATTTAAGTCATTCTACCCACCGATCATCTGACTGCCTCGTTCTCCCAGTGGAGCACAACCGAATTGTGTGACATGGTACCGGATCGAGACCGGAAGTCGTGTGAATGATTTCATGATATACATACTAACTCATCATATCTAAACTCAGTCAATCACACGCCATTTCTTCTTATTAGAAATGGTCAACACTGCGCAACCATCTGACTCTTCAAGGGCTTGAACCTGCAAGTCGACTATTGCCAGTCTGTTGTTAAGACCACTGAGCAACAGGGAGTGGTAAGGACCAACATAACTTAGTTACTGTCTATGCTATGGAGCCGCTCTGTATCCGAGCGTGTGTGACTGAGTAACTAGGCTTGGATATGGTGAATAATTACTTGTAACATTCAAATGACCCTACTACCTACTTGTGAGCATGTAGCAGTAGTTTCACGCGTCGAGGGGTTAAGCAGAAAGCCTTTGGGATGTAACCTGCCGTGTAGCTGTTCTTGAGTCTGGATAAATGTTGAGCCATTATCTGAACAAGCCAGTTGTGTGGCAAAGGGGAGGTATCAGACGTGAAGCAGTACTTCACACGAACACTTCGTTGGGATGCGCCCGCACGCTGTTGTACAACGGCTGGGGTATCATAGAAGTGCTTAAACCAATATAGCCACTGGGACTCGATTCCTGGGAGCAGAGGTTGTATGGTTGACACCTGCTACATTGCACTCGGTATACCCATAAAGTACCGAGGTATTTGTGATGTGCAAAGATTTGCATCCAGGCTCGGATTTTACTCATGCTCGTGGACTGGTTCTGATTCCTAGATGCCGACCGTCAGTTCGCATTCATGGATAGGTGTCCAACGATTATCGGTTTTCACTCAGGCCAATCAGCGGAAATAGTCTTCCCCATGCACGCGAGGCAAACCCAATCCAGATCCATCTATCGATTCAGCGAGATAACTGTTAAACCCCTTACACTAACGACAAACTCTGGTATGAGGTTCGTTAGTTCCATGCATGATACGTGATTCTTGTTCCCAACCTATCCTTACACTAACTAGTTGGATCTTCTAACCATTTGACCGTGCTTGTCCGAGGGAATAGCAAAGTTTGTATGTGCCTCATTCAAGATCAACTCAGCAAGACAGAGTACTGGTTCGATCCGGACTTCTTACGAACGGATCATGCTTGCGAATCTGCTCTGTTAAACAGGTAGACATTAAACGCCATTGTTTACATGCGCCCTACGCCCTAAAGTATGCCATTCGCAACGATAAGGCTGAGCTGCCTCAGAAGCAGTTTCCCCAGTGACCCAACTAATTTGAGAGTAACTGATAGCTACCGACCTCGTATGCTCCGTTACCAATGACGTTTCCCATTCTCACTGTAAAATCAAGAAGCTCGGTTATTAGACAAGCATACTATTTGCAATGTTAGCAAGGTCGGCGTTGATGTATAATCGAGAGGTACGGTGTCTATAACCATCTCGTAAGTGCAAACATGACCGCTGTCCGGTTGCAGCTTTTGAATGCTTGGCACTACTGTGCTCCAGTCAAACGGAGACAGATTCATTTTACGACTTTGGGGCGCTTCTCTTGTACTCTTATCTGGGCAGATATCGTGCAAATCCTTGGATAAATGCTAATCGATGGCTTGTGTGTTGCTTTTATTTATCCTGTCCATTGGGTGTAGGTGAATTTTCGCTTGCTTGACTGGGATAGCCAATTAATGGGTTGTGATCTGGTGTGCAGCGGATTCCATGTATCCTTTTCATTGTTTGTAACACCCACTATCTAGTTGCGTCAAGTCTGGTACGGCTGTGCGTTCCTGATTGTTTCCTCTCCATCCTGTAAGTTGAGATAGAGCAGCTCGATCCCTTGCTGTGCTGTGTTTGGTACGCATGACAGACTATCAATTACTCATGAGTAGATGGATTTAATGAGTTTTATTTTAGTACATCGCAAATAGATTACAAGACGGATGAGCCAACTACCAATCGGGAAAAGCCCCTGGCTGCCTGTCTTCCTCGATAGACTCGGCGGCCATGTGCCATCCATCAATTCGCTTCCGAGAAGTGAACTCATGACCCCTGGTGGCTTGTAACACTGGCTAGTGGCTAATGCCACTGAGCCATGGGGTACACAATGGATCAAAAGCTAATTGCGATATTTCACGACCCTTCCTCCCCTGCTATGTAGCTTACGACGCTTGAAGAGGATAGTGTTTGGCCTGCAATAGTGCAACTGCGGTCAGCAGTATTGTCATTAGCTATATTATTACTGCCACTGTATATGTTATAGCGTCCTATGGCTGTCCCCGTGGAGACCACAGTGACAAGCAAATCCGGACACGGATGCCGCCAATCCATATTATAGTTAAAAGGAAAGAAATGCAACGGTATGCAATGACTATTTGATACCGTTTCTCTACAGACCATGGGTATTAATACTGGGAAGCACCGTTCCCAAGAGCAGGTGCAACCCTGACCGAGTATAGGTGTTTTATCCATGGATACCGAGTGATCGCAGCTCACTAGATATGACACCACTCTCGTTTCCTAGTCATCCTTTACCACGCACACGTACACAAGTTATGAGTCGCAAACAAAGTTCAGCTCCATGGGACTTGCGCTTGTTGCAATAAGTAACGGAGCACTTTTGTGACCAAGTTTAGTTCTGATAAAACGACCACTCACAAAATATGAGTAATTATCCGACTAGCGTATAACATTATTGGTTGACAGTATGGGGAGTTAAAATGTACTCTTAGTGATCAGTCCGGTCTTTCACTCGCTAGCATCGGGCGTGCCAGCGGAGAACAAGGCGCGTTTTGCTATATTGAGCGGTTAAGTTCCATGGGCAGTCGCAACTATGGATAGTCCAGAAGCTTGAGCCACTGAGTGCAAGCTGAACAGCTATGGGCTCGGATTCTCAGGGGTTCGAAAATAATGTGTGCTGCCGAGGAGTTCCCCCCAAATTAAACGTTCCACCAGCGACTGACCAGAAGTTCGTCGTTCGTGCACCGCTTCCCGGTTTACTGAACCGGTTTACATCGAGCACCGCTGCATCCAGGCACCTACACATAGCTATGTAATCTCCGACTACTCGGGCAAGGAGACAATAGATAGATGCACGCCACGACGACAGTAAATAGTCATGGCCCACAGGAAGCTTGGGTTATGGTTGTTGTTGTTGTCGTTGTCGTCGTAAAATGTCCCGTTTGTTTCGACTGTGGTCGGAAAGACCGGAACGCTTTTCACCGATAGTATTGCATGCGCAGCGTTACCAACTGAATGCGGATTAGCACTGTATAGCAGAGTGAAACAAAATTACAAAGGAAGCTGAATGGTGGTATGACATTTGAGTTGCATGTAGTGATTATGTCCTGATGCGGGCTCAGTGGAAGTTAGTTTGGCTTGGGACAATAGGTAAAACAGTCTTCTGAGGAGAGCTCATATGAGATCTGCGAAGTTTGAGCAATTGCATGGTGATAGCATTTGTGAGACACACTCTGGCACAATCTGCGCAAGTTTCTCTGAGCCATTCGCACATTGGAGCAGTTATACAGGACTAAAGCGAATATGTGATCCACGGAAGTCTCGCCATGCGTGAAGGTGACATCTGCGATCAAACATTATAGTGACTCCTTCGTGCTGATTTTCTTATCCTCGGTAACGCGAGGCACGCCTTTACAAGCATAATCACGTTACGATAACCAAGTCTGAACAAAAATGTACAAGAATACAACATGTTTGTGATAACAGTGAATATGTGCATGGATGTGTGTGTAAATGTGCATGGGTGTAGCTTGGTCGCTTGTTTTGTATTTGTGAATGTTTGACAGCGTCGGCTTTGTAAGAATAGACGATTGGAGGTAATTATCCAGCTATCCCGGGGCAGTGACTTTAGTTTGTGACCAGTCACATTCGCCACGTCACAGTGTTGATAAACGGACATTTGTGGCTTTTTATAGGGAGAACGCTTGCCAGACAAAAAACCACCATGTCCTAAAACACTGCCGCCGAACTATTTGCTGGAACGGGTGACACCCGAACCACCCAGCCGGCACCACGAGGAGGTTGTTCGGCTAGTCAACCGAAACATTGGCGTACTCCGGGATGCAGTACAGCAGGATTCAGCTGTGTGCTAGCGGAGGTACCATGCATCAAACTTTCTTGTTCAGAAGTGATAATAAGTGTGGCGTTGTGTAGAGTATAGAGATTAAAATACTCCTACACTACCGATGATTTTAAGGACTAGCGTAACTTTTGCAACAATCGGATTGTTCATCATCTTTGCAAATGGCACTTGTCGTCTTTAACTTAAACGCTTTGAGAACTACAGTATCTGGCAGATACAGATTTTAGAACTGGTCATGTTGTTGTGTGTCACTGTTAGGCTACCACAAAAATGTCATTACTATCCACTACACAGATCTAATTTACCGAACAGCTAGTCCTATGGAAAAGTGACATCCATCCAAGAAATGCAGAACACAATTGTCACATAAGTGATCTGTCTTAAGAGTTGGGTATATGATGGATAAGGAGGTCAAGAATCAACCCAAGATGGGATGTTAGATGGTCTTTATCAAAGGTTTGT